ACTTTTTCACGCTTTTATATTTTCTTGCCCATGTTTTCCTCTTGTTGACCTTCCAAACTGAATTTCATCTAATGTTTATGTCTTCTAAGTTATATTTAATATTATTTTATATTAATTACATCACCTGGCCGATCCAACCCACAATTCAACTGTTGGACCTTGAACCTCCCCTCAACCTGTTCAATTGCTTCTTTCTCTCCAATCTCCCTCTCTCTTTCCAAGCCCCTTCTTTCACTTATGCTGCTCCACCGAATTCCATCTCACTTTAGTACTAACATTCTGTTTGCAGCAGCTCTGCACTTCACCCTTCCATTCGTATGTTGCTGCCTTTCCTCCACTGGTTCGTATACCACAAGCTAGCCAGCAACAGTCCTTTTCTTCTCCATTCAGTCCTTTTCTCCGACAACAAAACTTCCCCATCTGCCAGTCCTACCCAAACCCCAGAAGAGCAACATGCCTACAACCTCTCAAAACCTTGCAAAAGAAATTTGAGTTTTGTTTTATTTTGGAAGGTTTAGTATTTTTTGGCTTTGAGTTTTGTTTTTTTTTTTTAAAAAGGAAGATGTGGATTTTATTAAAAAAAAGATATTTTTTAAATGAGTTTTAAAATTTCTTTTTGGGAAAAAAATTATTAAGGTTTTAATTTAGAGAATTTTTTGTTTTCCTTTTGTAAAGAAAAGTTTTGCTTATTTCATTTTAAGAAGCTTATTTTATTTTAAATTCTTAAAAAATATTTCTATTAGTTATTTGGAATTATTAGGAGGACATGAGTTTTAAAATAAGATTTTTATATGATGAAACCTTATAGTACACATAAACTCTTCTCACCTTATACAATTATTTATCTTTTTGGAGTTTATTCAAATTTGGGCAAAAATGATTATTTTAGAGCACTTTTAATATATATATATATATATATATATACTTTTTATGAAAATAATTACCTTAGAGCACATTAAGTTGTGCATTTTTTATAGAAATAATTATTCAGGAGCACTTTAAGAATGTGTACTCTTATAAAAAAAATTATTTTCTTTTCGTTGAGTTTTTATATTGGCCTTGCAAAAATTTCCCTCCATTTTAGCTCATGAAAATTACTATCTTTAGACATGAGCACCTTATAGACTTTTTGGATAACATGGAAGAACATGAAATATCTCAACTTTGTCAAAAGCATAGAATGCATAAAGTTCACAGCTTGCTTCTCTTTTGCATGAAACATAAAACCAAACATAAGCATAGAAATTTGCTACTGCATAAGACCACAAGCATATGAAAATTTGCATACGAGATCACAAATATGAATTGTGCATGGTAAACAAATAACATGTGTGTTAAACAATTAACTAGCATGATAAATAACTAATTTGTATGGAAAAACACATAACTTGCATAATAAACACACTAACTTGCATGATAAACACATAATTTGCATAATAAACACACTTGAACTAGTTTACATTAAAATAAAGACACAATATAATCAAATATCTTCATTAATTTAATATGAAATATGTGTACACATTTTTTTCTTTTGCAAATAATGTGATACATTTTTTTAAACTGGAGAAATACACAAATAGGGGATACAACATAATAATAAAAATAAACATGACTATTGGCCTTCAAGGTTGTAATCTTCATTCCTTTATCGTCATCCATCATCATGCTCAATCCCGCCTCTGAATAAAACTGATAGGGAGGAGGCTTGAGTGCTCCTTGCTGCCACTCAAAGGCTTGGGTATGCCACTCAAGCAATCAGTTTTGCTACTGTTAGATATGACTTTGGGTCTGTTTGGGGCAGCTGCAACTTGTTAAATAATATGTTGATAAGCTGATTAAAAATAAATTGTTGATAAACTAGGTGCAGTGACTATTACAAATTTTTATTTTTTTTAAAAAGCCAAATCACAGCCAGAAAGCTGTCACCGCACCTAGATATATATATTGTGAAAACGTTATTTTCGGCTTTTTGAGAACGCATAAGGTGCAATAACACATTTTACCTAAACAAACCATGTGCATTTTCAAAACGCCACCGCACCAAATAAGCTGTCCCAAACGAGCCGTTAGTTGATCTCCGAGAAAATTCAGTTTTTGGTTAATTGCAGCGCATTGTGGTGTAACTCCCAAATCTTCTTGAAGATGGAATGGGAATGTGAGGAGGTAACTAAAGGGGACAAGGAATTGAGTCTCCTAAGACTTTACGAGATTGGTCACTCTCTTTCATAGTAAAGCCTTCAGTGAAAATCTGCTCCTCTACTCTACTTCGAGCCTAGACGCTTACGAAACAATAAAAGCCTAAGTGGCCGCTGGTCGATCTTATTCTCATCACATGCTAAATGGGAGTCATCTCCCTTCAGAAGAACTAAAAAAATTGAAAGGGCAAAAGAAGAAGGAAGAAAGAGTTGATGCGTTGGATGTAGTGGAAAGAAAACCAGTCCCACCAACACCACTATTTATAGAGGACTTGGAATTGCAGCTTTGGGATGTGGTGCCATAGCACTCAGCCAAAATAGGTCCCCATAAACTTAAAAATGACATAAATTCCCATATGTTATGAACAATGGAAATCAATTACATTAATTTATTAGTGTGACGTTAGTGATTAATGCTATCTCTATCTGTCTAGAATTGATTGATTCACTCCAAAATTTGCATAAATAGTGGGCCCCTCCATCTATTAAAATGGTAGTGCATGTAGAAAGAATTCTAACGGTTGAAAATAATAGTGCATGTAGAAAGAATACTAATGATTGAAAGATAGTGGGTTTTAGAGAGTTGGTGTGAAATACCAAAGTTGTGAGTACATAAGATGTATGCAGCTCTGCGTACATCAGGGGTTATCCAGGGGGTACAATGGGGTTATATCTGGGTTATACCCCCTTGGCGTACAACAGGGGTTATCCAGGGGGTACAATGGGGTTATATCTGGGTTATACCCCCTTGTAACCTCCGGTATAACCCAGATATAACTCCCCTGTACCCCCAGAATAACCTCTGATGTACGCAGCACTGCGTACATCTTATGTACGCAAATATTTCTCGTAAAAGTGACGCAGGGCAAGATTTAAAAGCGCCAATGCTATGAGAGATGATAATATCATCATAGGTTCAATGATTAAAATTTAATGTTACTAGAAAGGCTAGAATTTAGTATTTTAAAAACATCATTTTTTAAAGTGGAGTTTATGAACGTCACACTTGAAATAATCCAATTCGCCTTTTTGACTCCTGACTTCTTAAATTTAAGCATATCACACTCAATTTTATAAATAATAAAAATGAATTATAATCTTCTCTTTCTCCACATGTTTTTAGTTATGCCGATTATATTCCTAGTAGGGGTGCAAAAAATTGACCCGACACGTCAATACGAGTAGAACTCTATTTGAAAAAATTGGGTTAAGATTGACCCAAATATTTTTCAAGTCGGGTTTTAACTAGAGAATTTGACTAGTTTATTATTCTGGTTGGGTTTTGGTTGAACCTGAAACCCAAATATGACCCAAATAAGCACGAAAGTTTAGGCCGAGTTTGGGTTAGTGGGTCAAGCTTGATTTCGGTTTTAGTTGAAGACCCGTTTATTTTTCAGATCGGGTTCGGGTGAAGCCTATTTGGGTCGGGCCCGAACCCGACCCGTTGACCCGAATTGACGCCCCTACTTCCAGGTGCATCCCTGTAACAATTTTCTCACATTTTATTCATTGTCGAGGTTCCTGCACATGTCAATTTTATCGATGTCTTTTCCTAGCAAGATTGATACATTTTCCTCTCACCCCTTTTTTATTGTTGAGGTTTTCAATTTTTTGAGTAGCAATGAATGGATGCTTGAGATGGAACTTGACTAACAACTAAGTAAATATAAAATTCTATAAGCTAAAGATCTAAATTTTACCCTCTAAATATACAAACCTTTTATTTTAAATAATTATATAGATGGAATAAAACATTCTCTCATTCACACATTCAACTTACTAATACACCATAAAGGCTTCATTGCTTCCAAAATAAAAATAAAAGACAATTACATATAAAGCATTCCAAATATCATTATTTATAAAATTACCATCCTTTTGCAATCTTTTTTAAAATTCTCACGAAATAACAAAAAATTAATAGGGTTTTTACATACTTGGAGCATGCAAAATATGTAAGAGAGAGGAGAAGAAAATTAAAATGAGTGTCTATGGTCTCCTACTAATAGGTATGAGAGATACCTTTAATATATAATTACCTTTAGACTCCCTTGTATAAAGAAACGTAGGGGCACCAAGGTTATTTGTTAAATACATTTAAATATGCTAATAAGTAATCATTCACTGACGACAGTGGTCCCTATTTGTTGATTTATACTTCTTCGTTCAATGATGAAAGTCGAAAACATGTGAAGATAATATTGAGGCTCCTCAGTCGAGTATGCTTATGGCTTCCTCTCAAATTCAAGTCCGTCCGTCTCATTCGCTGAGTGATGAAGGCGTCTCTTGTTCGACCCATCTTGTGGTCATCTTTCGTTCGGAATCCATGTTGGTCGGACCTCCAATTAGGCGAGCGACCCGACGGAGCTGTGTGATGGTTTCCTAACTCTGACATTAAGATTATTTAATTTAGCTTGTTGACTTATCCTGCACATCTTGAATGAGACCAATTTCATTTGTCGTGTATTTTTGTTTTGTCTCAATATCCTGTTATACAATACAAATTATTCAAAATATTAAATTCAATATTTTAGCCATCCAAACATAAAATTTAAAATTTAAATCACACCCAAAATTTAGCAGTATGTAATGGATGATGGCTGTAAATTGTAATGTTAATTTTTAAATATAAATAATTACAATATTATATTTAATATTTTGGTCACTTAAAGTGAGAATACCCCAATTTTATAATATAACGAAAAAAAATGCTCAACGCCGCGCGCTCAGCCTCTACCTCCGTGCCATCTCTGTAAAACCCTAAAACCTCCGCCGCCGCTGTGCGATTATCTCTCCTACGCAATGTTTCGCAACCTGAGAGCTCTCGTTACCTCCTCCTCCTCCCACTCACTAATCCAGCGCTTCGCTGTCAGCGGTACAGCAAAGGGCAAGGGTAAGGGCAAAGATAAAGCTGGGCAGCCCCTCAAGCGCTCAATTATCCCCAAGAAGAAGCCATCCGGTGGCGGCGGTGGTGGCCGGGGGAGCAAAGGGGCCAA